TGTTGTGCTTTGTGTGTGTGTTGTGCTGAATGTTGTGTGTTGTGTGCTGTGAGTTGTGAGTTGTTTGGTGTCAGGTCGGGTCGGGTCGGGTCGTGTCGAGTAGAATCGTGTGGTTTTGAGCCGGGCAATTGGGTACATCGTCGTGACTTCTGGCTTCGCAACAACCGCCTTGAGGCACAGCGCATCATCGTCAATGCGTGCTCGAACGTGGGGCTGTAGGAATGTGGGAATGTTCGACGTTGCTAAGGCGGGGAGGGCCAATTCTCAGATGGCCAAGACACCCATCTCGATGGGCAGGCAAACGGACACACATTCACACACACACACACACACAGCAACAGTCTCGCCTCCTCTGGCACCCTCGTCAATAAACCGTATTGATTGCACATGGTTGCCTACTTGTGGCGGTGAATGCAGGTCTGTGCAATCATTGTCTCGCCGATTACGTCACCTCGAGGCATAGAGACATTCGAGATCGGTCCAAGCGCTTGTGAAAAGGTAAACATTCTAAGATTGGCAGTCGAACAGGTGTGTGTGTGCACACACACACACACACATCGGTGCATACAGACACTTTGAGCTCAGCAACGAGCCCAGCCAGACTCCAGTCGGGCATACAGATTTGCGCACAAATGCTTCTCTGCCGGAGGGTGAAAGTGAGAGAGAGAGAGAGAGAGGGAGAGGGGGGGAGAGGGTGAAAGGAGTGAGGCCATCCAAGAGGGCTCAGTGGAGGCGCGCAAGTCGAGTTGACCCGCTGAGTCGACGAGATGAGGCGCGACCGACTTTGTGTCGACGAGGCGAAACCGGTTGAACTTGAACCGATCGGTGACAGCGTGCGCTAGCGCCGGCAGTACATCTGCCACACAAGCAAACATGCTGACAGACTAACAGACAAGCCATCAATCCGTCATACATGCAGACTAAGACTCACACAAACGCACACAGTTAGTCAATTAGACAGACAAGCAGACATTTATGCAGAAAAACAGACGTACACATGCACAGACGGTCGTAGAGACAGACTGACAAACCGACAAACCGACAAAGAGGCACCGCTGGATGGACAGATGTGGGGGCACACACAAACAACTGGCGATGCGAGACGAGGCGAACAGAGACGGACGAGGTGCGGCGAAAGCAGATCGATCGACGACGACGCCTGCAAGCCAGCTGACCTGACGACTCGGCGATGCTCGGCCCGTCGGCCGGAGTGAGTCGCCGACTCGAGGGCGGAACCAGCGCCTCTCTGGGCCCTGGAGACAGACGCACAAGCCTGTCCCACAGTCCAGGCCGTCTCGGCCGAGGCAGCGGCGAAGCGACGAGTGGCCCAATTTTGAGAGAAATCTGCGCTGCCGGCAGAGCGTTGACATACAAATCAGCGCCAGCTACCAAAAAAGGATAACAATTGTCGTGGCCCTCGTTTTCGCATCTTGATCGTGTTGCCGTGCCAACCATGTTCATGCCAGTTTCCAACTGGCAAAGGTGGACTTGGTGCATTCGAAATGCAAACAAATGCAATACAGACAAAGGAGATTGGCCCATCTTCTTGGCCGTCCCGTCGACCGGATGCTAGTGACCAAGCCTTGCAGTTGCCCTTCCCACCCCGCACGTGAGTGTCGCCCGGCCGAGGTGGCTTTGCAGGCTAGTCGGGCGCTACCAATTCACCTGCTCTACTTGGACTGTTAATGGGACAGACTCATGTTTGTCAGTGCCCTCGGCGAAGTTACTCACCAGTTGGTCGAGTAGACCTCGAAGGTATCACTATTATCGCAGTGGTCTCACCTCATTTAGGCAACTTGCCAGATTTCATGATGCCCAATGTTGGACCATGAACTTGGTACATTCCCAGAAGTACGACGGACGAAAGGTTAACACGTCTTTGTTAGGGGGACCTTCATTTCGAATGAAAGTGCATGAAGAAGAGATTCGTTTGTCGTTCTCACCAGATGAGGACGGATGAAAATCGTTGTACTGCAGCCGGTTGGATTGTATAGGATATTGATGTTGACGCAGTCCACGAATATTCCTCCCTCGTTTCGGGTGAAAACGTGCTGAGCTTTCGTCCATCATA